AAGCAGCTATAAGGTTGAACTAGGGTTTGGAAAGTTAATTTGGAGATCATCCAGTTTTCATTTTATGACACTTTGAAGTAAATTAGGAACCTAAACTTTTTATGATTATTGCCACTTCCAAACATTGCAGTTGGAATATTTGTCTGCCTGTTTCCTGGAGAATAAGTTGTGGGCTTGGTAGGCTATTTTAAAAAGAGGATTAAGCAGGTTATGACTTAAAAACTATACTTGATTATAAATTATTTATCAGTCTGCTTTCTTCAGTGTAACATGCTGATTAAAGGGTTGAATAGGGGTGAAGGATGATTGCGAATGCTTAACCAGTGCTAATGCACATTATAAAAGCATAGGTTGAAATGATGGTAATTCACTTATTGTCAAATTTTTCTTTACTTGCTGAACTTGGGGGGGAAACACCAAACTGCCTGAACTTCTCTCATTAAACTTTTGCAGTCTGACCAAAGACCAAGGGCCATGAAGCTGATCAGAGGGCTGGAGCACCTCTACTATGGAGACAGACTGAGAGAGTTGGGGTTGTTCAGCCTGGAGAAGAGTAGCATCTTCTAGTGCCTAAAGGGGCTCCAAGAGAGCTGGAGAGGGACTCTTCACAAGGGTCTGGAGTGACAGGACAAAGGGGAATAATATCTTCACACTGACACAAGGCAGGGTTAGATTAGATGTTAGGAAGAAATTCTTTACTGTGAGAGTGGTGAGGCATTGGAACAGATTGCCCAGAGAAGCTGTGGATGCCCCATCCCTGGAAGTGTTCAAGGCCAGGCTGGATGGGGCTCTGAGCAACCTGGTCTAGTGGAAGGTGTCCCTGCATGTGGCAGGGAGTTGGAACTAGATGGTCTTCAAGGTCCCTTCCAACCTAAACCTTTCTGGGATTCTATGAAAATCACAATGTGTTGGAGAACTGCATGTTCCTTTTATTGTTTTATCTACTCTGTTTTTCTGTGCAATCAGTATTTGCAGCTGTCCACCTTCTCACACCAGCTCAAGAAGTAGTATGCATCTAACAACTCGTGAATTTTAGAATCACCTTAATAGTTGAGAAACACTTGTTTACCTTGGGTAAAATGAGGTTGCTATACTAGAGAGTATTAGCTTTTTACATGAATAGATGTTAATCTTGGATGGTTTTGGTCTAAGGTACACTGAGCTTTCACTTATATAATTAAATTAGAAACATGGAGAATAAATACTGCTACAGATTGCCCAGAAATTCCAGACTATTTTACCAAATATAAGTTTTAAATTCAGAATCATCTTTTATATGCAACACAAACTTATTCTTAAAATTTTCCAAAATCTTTTAAGTAGTTTAGTAAAACAGTTTCTGTAATCTGTTTCCTGTTACGTAAAAGTTGTGGAAATGCTTAACTCTGATTTCACAGTTGCTGACAGGGTTACTTTAATTTCCATGAGAAAATTATTACAGTTAGTTCTCAATGAAGGAAAATGGAAGGACTGTCTGCCCTCTCTTTCCATGACAATTTATTTTGTCTGCAAAGTTGGTCAGTAATGCCTCATTGTAGGTTTATGCAAGTGAAGTGTTTACTTGTATTTGAAATCTTGTTTCCTCTTATGATTTGCTGTCAGGAGATGTCTCTACTATATGTACAGAAGAGCTCTCTTACAGCAGTGTAAAAGGGGAAACCTCAACAAGAACAGAAGAGCTCTTTTGTTAGCTCTAAAGAAAAAGGAGAAAACTGCTAATGAACTTCAAAGTAATTACATGGAACCTATATGGGGAGGGAACTGCTTACATTTTGCATTTTCACACACAGTTTTACAGTTGTTTTCTGTTGAGTAATGATGAGATCATCCTCAACATATGGCATTTTACCCTTTATTCTTCGGGCTGTCATCCTTCTCCTTGCAATGAGCTGGTGTCCTTTAGTCATGCTTACTTAACCATGACTATGCGGTATACAACGTAAACTATATGTATCTTAAGTTCATACAATTTCATGCTATAAAGACTAATTGGTACAATAGTTAGGGAGATTTTTCCTAATGGTTTTTATTTTTAACTAGGCTGGTATTGGGCTTTTTGTGATCCCAGCTATTACTGTTGCCATAAGGAAGGAGCAGATAAAAACAAATAATAAAGAAAAGTTAGCTAGACATACAATTTGCATGTACAGTTTCATACAATGTATATCGGGAGGAGCAGTGTTGAGGTTAAAAAAACACAGAGTGGTGATGGCTGATGTGCATGTAGATGATACATTACTTGTTTTTTGTAACTTAAATTACCTTTTTTCCTCTCAGCTGCAGCATGCATCTCTGTCTTTATCTCAAATAGTCTTAACTGCTGCTCAGTGTATGAATTGTTTGAACTACTCTTCATGAAATTAACTACTAAATGATGTAGTTGTGGATAGTCCATATGGCAGAAAAATGTATGCTCTCTGCACTGAGATACTATACTTTGACGTAGGTATGTATATGTTTTCAAATACAAGCAGAAGTTAATGTAATTTATAGAACTGTTATCAGGTTAATCATCAGTACTCCTGATCTTATAACTTGTAAATAACTGAACAATTTTGAAATCCAGGTGCTTGTACTCATAGGTGGAGCCTGATATTGGTAAGGTTGACTGCACTTATGTCTTGGTTCTGGCCAGGACTGGATTAATTTTTGCAGTAGCCAGGAGAGGGCATGGGTGGGACACAGATTATTCTATACCACCTCACGTCATTGCTGGGGGTGGGAGAAGGGAGTCTCTTCCAGGGAGAAGGGGTCTCTGCTGGTTGGGGTAGCATGACTGTGGTCTGGTAGGGCTCTGCAGTGAGCATTTTGTGTGTGAATAACTGTCTCTTTTGTACACTTCTGTTATTAGTATTGTTGCTGCTACTGTTTGTTTTCTTATCTCATTGCTGTTTTCAGTAAATTGTTCTTATCTCAACCTGTGATCTTTGCCTTTTGTGCCTCCAGTTCTCTTCTCCCACCGCAGGGTGAAGAGCAGAGCGGTCACAAGCGAGCAGCAGAGTGGTTTGGAGAGTCTCATTGGGAGCACTGAATTGGGGAGTACCATTCCTAAACCACAACAGCCTTATTTGGCACCCAATGTGTGGCATGAAGGGTTGAGATAACAACAGATCTGCCCAGAGCAGGTTGGAAACAAATTTGATCTAAGCATTTGCTGTATTAGGTACAAAGCCACTGGTCACAATGTTGCTTGGTCTGTTATCTGGGTGTGGTACCTAACCCTGTATATGTTCCCATATGTGCTCCTCCCGATGTTCTTTTTCAGAGCAGGGAGGGGAATCAGGATTGCTTTGTTGCTGTACTGTGTGATATCAGCTTATGACATGATAACATCAAAGGGCAGTGAGGGTCATTTGGGATGTGTATTCAGTGGTGTTCTCCTACCCTTACCTCAGGCGTGACCTTTGGGAGTCCATTAATAATAGTACCCAGCCTGTGGGGGGAACAGGGGAAGATGTTTTTCCCCAGCTTTTCACCCCCTTTTCCTCCTTCGGGCCTGTTACAACAGCTTTTGAGAATTTTGAATTCCCTTTGGATGTTAAGGAAAGTATGTTCTTATTGCTAAGTCTGCCAGGTCTCCTCAGTGCAGTCCACACCATGTTTAGAGTTGCCAAAGAGATTTCTAGAAAGGCCTTTCAGAGATCGGCTCTGAGGGAGGATAGTGGCATGGAATGTGGGAGGACATGGGCCAGTTTTTGGCGAAATTCTCTGCTCCAATGGTTTGGAAGTTCACCCCTGAACAACTACAGGACCCTGTTAAAGTGATAAAATATGTGGGAGAAAAATGCTGTGTTAGTTCCAGAGAGGCACGAAGTTATGCAACGTGCTGGGCCCTGGCTACTATTTATTGGACACTGCTCATCACTAGACAGCACCCTCAGGGGGAGGAGGAGGAAAGCAGACCAACAGGCATCTTGACCACTCAAACTGCAGCTGAACCAGAGGAACAACTCACCAGTAGCGCTCACCCCTATATAGAAGAAGAAATCCAAGACCAAATCAGTTTGCATAATGAGAGATGAACAGGAAGCAGGGCCCTCACAACAGGAGGAAGAGGCAGGGCCAGAGATAATCACCCGATCCCCAGGTGAACTTCGAGATATGCAAAAAGATTTCAACTGTCATCTGGGTGAGCCCCCTGGTGATCTGGTGTGATAGACTGAATGTCTTAAACATTGTCAAAATCATAGACTTTTTGTCAAACTGCAAAGAACCAGCTACCTCTCTGGGACCACTGAAGCACCCCCACCTCCCGAAGATGAAGATGCCTCCTGACTGGAATTTGGACTGGGATGGGGAACTTGAGATAAGACTATTGTCAAATTATCTCAGGTGTGAGGAGAAGTAAACAAGGGTCATCGGTGGTGGAGGAGTTTTGGGTGTATGATGGTGAAATCTCTCCACACCAAACCAAAGGAGTAAACCCCCCTGCTCTAGGAAGACCACGTACATGCGGGACATTCACGTGAGAGGCAGCTGAGAAGGGGTCATAAACCATCAAAGACCCCCAAAGTGCTCCCCCTCTCTCCTCCCCCGAATTCCTGAGGCCTTCCACCACCAGAGGACTGCACGTGATCCAAGTTATGCAACAAATCTGGAACCTGTCACTAGAGACTGCAAAGCTTACTCCCCCCTTCCCCCCCAGGGAGGTTCCTGGGCATCTCCTGAATGTATATTAATCCATTGGACTCTATGTTTTGTGAGACCCTCGCCACCAAGAAGACCAGCCGAACAGGACCCCACAGGATGCCACCGAGTTCCATAGAGTGGTGATACATTTTCTATTTTAATCTCTTTGTCACTCTCTTTCTTCCCCCCCTCCTTTTCCTATTTCTTTCTATCTCTACCTTTCTCTACCTCACATTTACTGGTAAATAAAATCCATATTATTGACTTTGGCATCTGGTCTCATTTGCACCTTAATTCGGGCAGAGGCATTTCTAATAATTTTAATAACCAGCATCTGGCTGCTCTGATGCTGGGATATCGTGGCCCACAATATGAAACTAGATGGTAGTGAAGCCAAGCAACTGGGATCCCTGTCCCAGGATGTGGGCATTGGCAAGGGGATTGGGAAGAGGACAGAAACTCTCAGCCTCTGGAGGCAGCTCCTGTCAAGTGTGAGGGAAAAGTATTCTCTCAAGGATGACCTAGCAGTGCATCCAGGCAGGTGGAACGCCATGGAGAAAGGTATCCAGTATGTGAGAGAATTAGCTGCACTGGAGGTAATCTATAGGGATTCAAATAATGAGCAGTCCCCTGTAGATCCAGATGAAGTCCAGTGTACACAATCCATGTGGTGGAAGTTTGTACGGAGTATGCCATCATTGTATGCCAACTCATTGGCATTGGTGTCAATGAAAGAAGAACAAACAGTGCTTCAGGAACCTGATTCTGGCAATATGAAGATCATCTTTTTTTCCTCCCTATTGATCTGGGCCTCGGCTGTGGAAAGACTGTCCAAGACTGCAGACAGATTCAAAAGGCTCGAGCAAGCTAGAGAGGAAATGTCCCATGCCCCGTCAGTATGGACCAGAGTCTCTGCTGTTGGGAGCAAGTGCTCCTCTGCTTGAGAGAGAGGGTACACACCACAAGCTAACCACTTTTTTTACCTGCATGACCACAGAGAGGACATGAGGAAGTGGGATAGAAAACCCACCTCTGCCCTAGCAGCATGGGCATGTGAGTTGAAAGGAAGAACCACAACAGGAAATTCTTCAAGGATAAATGCCACTCCAGTTTCCAGTGGGCAAGTCCTCAGACAGAACAGGAGGGCTGATGTTCCTTTTGATCCTCTTGAAGGGAGTTCCAATTCATATTTACGAGAAGTGAGCAACAAGTACTATGACCAGAACTAGAGGGGCCCTGCCTCCAGACAGGTGGAGGAAAGAGACAGTCGGATCTGTTGGACTGTGTGGATCCAATGGCCTGGCACATCAGACCTACAAGAGTATAAGGCTTTAGTTGACACTGGCGCACAATGTACCCTGATGCCATCAAGATATGTAGGGGCAGAATCCATCTCTATTTCTGGGGTGACAGGAGGATCCCAACAACTGACTGTACTGGAAGCTGAAGCGAGCCTGACTGGGAATGAATGGCAAAAACACCCCTTTGTGATCGGCCCAGAGGCCCTGTGTATCCTTGGCATAGATTACCTCAGGAGAGGGTATTTCAAGGACCCAAAAGGCCATTGTTGGGCTTTTGAGATAGCTGCTGTGGAGACAGAGGAAATTAGACTGTTGAATACCTTGCCTGGCCTCTCAAAAGAAACCTCTGCTGAGGGTCAAAGAACAACAGGTACCGATTGCTACCACCACAGTGTGCCATCAACAATACCGCACCAACTAGGACTCTGTGACCCCCATCCATGAGATGATTTGTGAACTGGAGAGCCAGGGAGTGGTCAGCAAGACTCACTTTAATAGTCCTATATGAGCAGTGCGCAAGTCCAATGGAGAGTGGAGACTGACAGTAGATTATCATGGCCTGAACAAAGTCACACCACCACTAAGTGCTGCTGTGCTGGACATGCTGGAACTTCAGTACGAACTGGAGTCCAAAACCACAAAGTGGTGCCACCATCAATATTGCTGAATTGTGGCAACACATCACTGCCCAGGTAGAGAAGTTGGCTGTAAAAGTATGTCATGTAGATGCACACGTATCCAAGAATGGGGCTACTGACAAACATGGCAACAATGGACAGGTGGATCGAGCTGCCAAGATTAAAGTGTCTCAGGTGGATCTGGACTGGCAACATAAGGGTGAATTATTTCTGGCTCGGTGGGCCCATGATGCCTCAGGTCATTGGGGAAGAGATGGGCAGGAGAGGAATGGATAGTTTGACAGGAAAACTCTTATAGTAGCAATGTTGTTATGCCGTGGCTTGCCTCGCCTTCCTTTCATTTATTGTTGCTTTCTTCTGTTTGGGGGGGGAAGGTCACCATGGTGCCAGAGATGATAAGCTGGCTGAGTTTATTAATCAGTTTTTAGGGCAGTGTCTCAGTTTTAATTGTGAGATATGCCTTACTGATTGGAAAGTGTTTTAAGCTTTAAAACTAAAGAATAGACAAAGGGAAGTTACCTATGAGAAGGAAGAAGTTAGTGATTTTTACCAGTTTTACAAAAACGAGAGAAATATCCCTGATATATGAAGAATTGAGGAGGTGGGAATTTTACTTCATGGGAAATAATGAAAAATATGAGGGAATGAAGAGGGAAGATAGTGTTAAGCATGCATTAAATAAGATGAGAAGTGAAAGAACACCCATAGAAATCTAGAGAATAAATGGCTTTAAATATAGTCTAGAAATATGTGATCAAAGAGTTGTCATTCAAAGGGTAGTTTGTTTTACATATAAGGGATTGAAGGGAACTAATAGCAACTGGTAAAAAGCCGAAGCATTAGAAATCATTTACTTCATGAAACTTGATCAGTTATTAAAATGCATAGGTTCTATATTTTGTTCTGTAATTGTTTTAACGTTATGTTTCATAGTTCTGTTTTCTTTTTGTTATTAATCTTTAGGGGGAAAGGAACAATGGCTTTGATGTCCTCTATCACAACATGAAACATGGACATTTGTCAACAAAAGACTTGGCAGACTTTATAAGAGAAAGGTAAGTATTCATCCTTGCTAATCCTGCTTCTTTAATATACCTTTTGTGATTTTTATTTAAGTTTATCGTTATGTATATTACAGTAACACGCAAAACAAAAATTGGCAAGCATTTTAAAATCTCATGTCCTATGAGAACATTTAGGTTTATTCCATTCGCTGAGAACTGAATAGTGATTCCTAAGTCACTGAACAGTGATTTCTAATAACAAGCTTCTAATTTTTAGGTTTGAATTAAAAAACTAGTAAAAAGCCAGAAATGTCACAGTAGGTGCCCATCAGTTTATTTAAATTAATCACAATTTTTCATTGTGTTTGGAAGAAAAGCAATAAGTTAAGTAGAAAAAATTTGACCACAGATATAGAATTAGGGTATTAGCAAGTTCTAGTATGATCTTAAAAATTATCCTTCTTGATTAAGGTATTGAGGAACTAGGTTGGTTAAAGAAAAGGGAGTGATATCTATGGACAAGAAAATAATTTGCAGAAAATAACCCAGGTTGTTCTTTATGGTATGGAAAGGACAGAACTGAAATCTGCAAATGTGACAACTTCCTAAATAGATGTTCTTTATAGAAGATGACTGCTGCTGCTACTTTGAACGTAAGAATTTCTGTTCTGGATGAAATTAATGATACGTCTGCTTCAGAATTTTGTCTTATTTAGTTACTGATACCAGATGTTGGATGGAAAAAACTTGCAAGAGGCTAATTGAGGACCTGTTTCAGTGAATGTTTCTTGCAGTAAAAGCTGTCAAAATAACCAGCTTTTGTTTTCTGAAATTTTTCATCAAAATTTCAGTTTTAGCCCAAAATAGACCTCAATGAAGAATTTTTAAAAAAAATTTCCACAAAATGTAACCATCATGGGTCCTGCAGGTACTCAGTGACACTGACATTTGCATAGTTTCTAAGTGAGTTGAAATGGAGACAACGACAAAAATCTTTCCACTAAGTGAAATAGGTGAATTCCAGAGGCCCTTTGTGATGGGCAGTCTCCTATTGGAAGAACAACACAAACCAAGGAATGTTGTTTCAAGAATCCCTGTGTTGCCTAAAGAGACCGCGGAGAAAAAGACTCCAGGCCAATTTAGTGTATAAGACAATATAAAAAAAACGGGTTCTTTAATCAGACCTCAGGCCCAGGGGAATACACATGATGCACGCGCACCCAGACAGTGGTTTTTTGATTTTATAATAAGGTCCATCCAATCCCAGATCTATCCACCCCCTGGTTCTGCCCCCCAATACGCCTCTGTGTCTGGGGGCGTGTGGGACCCCTTCTTCCACATCTTCATCTTCTTCAAAGCACGTACAGTCCTTGGAGTTCCTCCAAAGTTCTGGGCTTGAAGGTTGCTGCGTCTGTGTGATAACTCCTGGTCCAGGCCTAGGGTGCGATGTTCTTAAACAGAGGTGTTTTTCTGCAATTCTACCTTGAAAAGAAGACTAAACACACTAACGGAATTTAGAGGGATTGATATGAAATGGGGTAACAGGGTTGGGTATGTGTAAACTGCTATGTTAAGGGTAAGGGATACAGTACAGCTACATTAAAATGTACATTTACTACACAACTACTTCTGAAATCTACAAAAGTTAAAAAATCCAAAAAGCTCTGAGGCATCATGATTCCAGAGAACACATTATGAAGCCAGACAGGTGTCCGGATTTAGTTGAGGGACATTATGCTCTTGATGCTTAGTATGAAATGTTTAGGGCTTTACAGGCTGCTAAAAATGGTATATTTTTTTTAAACTGCTTTTAATATTGACTGTTAAAAAACTTTGCCTTGTGTTATCTTTGTGTATGCCTGGATCTTTCCTTTGAAACCTGCTTTAATTCTTGGAATCAGTCTTTTTTTAAAATATATATATGTAGTAATAAGTCATAGACTTAAGCTGTACATCACCTGGACACATGTAATTTTATTAGTTTTATATCCATTGTGTTTTGATTCATCTCCATATTTAGATCAGAAGTTTGCTTGCTCACTCTTCTTATCTCCGTTACATTGTATTCTTTGGGCATGCTCCATTTTATTAATACTGATCCTGAGGTTAAAGGTCTTATATAAATGGGTAAAAATAACTTGATTCTCTATCTGTCTTGGATTCTGTTTTATTATCGTGACATAAATAAAACTTGACAGTTCATTCTATGCAAAATTACTAGCAAAAAGAATGTGGCATTCTAGTTTATTTTTCATTCCATCAGTTTCTTCAAATGAAATTTTAAATGAGATGTGCCTTTACAATCAATAGATATGTGGACCTTTCTCCACATATTAGAAGTGTTTTAGCTGAAGCTTCTGAGAGATCAAGAAATGTAGTTTTTCTTCTTGTGAATAGATCAGGACATGCCAGAGATTTTCAGCCAGCCATCAACCATCTTATCTACAGCATTTTTTGTCAAATATATGAAAAATTTTAGTTCTAGTTAACACACTGAGACTCACTAGAATCTTAGTACTAAATTTTAATTTATTTGACAAGGCTTCAGTATACTTCCTTAAGAACAACTTGCCCTGGAATTGGAAAATATCTCTGTGATGCAGACCTGCAGCAATAAGTTCAGTCCTTTCCAGTGAACTTCTCTCCATCAGATATTAAACGTGATATCCGATCTGTTCCGTTGTGTCTTCAGCTCTGCTTTATCCATCTAGGTATGCCAGGCTGCCATAAAAAAAAAAAATTTGAATGGCAAATATATGCTTCTTTTCAAGTTAAGGTTGCATTGCTGATCAATCTCAGTCTAAGCTAGTGGTACCTTGTGGCATATAGTTTGTAGTTTCAAAGAAATAGATGGAATTTTAATATTTGGTGTCCATATCTAGGCAGTGACATCCTTCCACTACCATTGTGAGGTTATTGCAGTATGTCAGTCTTATTTCCCAGAAAATAAATATGATTCAGTAGCACACATTTATTCATGTGGGTCAAATTCTTGATCTCAAAGAGTTTATATTGGGCAGTGCTTGAACAGTGTTTTGCAACAGTCTGATTGTCTTGACCGTATTGTTTTGCATTTTTGTTTATTGCAAAGAAATGAAGAGATATTGCTCACAGTTATCTGCTCCCCTCCTGTAGTCTGAATATTATTGTGCAGTATTCTTTTCTGCTAGAAATATGTAAGTGGATGAGCAATGAGGAATCTCCTAGATCTAGTGTTTTTATGCACTACTTAAACCTCGTTTTCTGAGCTCTTCTCTATGAAAACTAAACTTGCGTATATTTGCAATTTCTTCATATCTGCCCTTCCATTCCTTCTGAACATATTGGCCAGTTTTATTCAGATATGGAGATAGAGGAGAGTGTAAACTGAAAATTGCTTGCTGGGTAAAGAAGACACATCTGAGTTAGTGATTATACTTACAAAACATTGGAGTACTGTCAAACAGTATATACAGTTGTCAGCTGGTCAGTCAGCATTGCTGAAGTCTCCAGAAGAATAACCAAAATATTTGCTTTATTTTAAGGGAGTGGCATACAAGAGAGGAAAGATAGTTGAGTATATTTGGATGTACAGACTACTTAAGCACAAAGGACGTCTGTATGAAATCTGAAAAAAACCCCCTGGATATCCCTAGAAGGAGCAGGTTTCCCCTTTGGCTGTGTTCAGTTAATCAATACCAATTCAGTTTTTAACTGTGGTGTTTCACTTTTTCATTTTTGAGTGTTTGTTAGTAGTCTAGTACTAAAAGAACTGAGGAACATTTGGATCTATAGTTCTTTAGTGCCTTTTGTCCAGATATTCTGCTACCGTAATTGGGAAAGACTTAGTCAGTAGTTATTGCTTTCTAGAAGGTTCAGATATGCCTCCTGAAAGAGTGAATTTTGTGACAGGCAATCTGCTCAATGTTGGGGCAGAATATCTGTCTGCTAAAATATAGGTATCTTTGTTCTATTCTTGATAAAGCATGTAGAAATTATGTTTTAGGAGTTAAAAGGAGTTAACATATAAGAAGACTGGGATTCCCCTGCAGTGTTTTTTTGTTCTTGTTGTTGTTTTGTTTTTTTATTTAAATACTTGGAAGATTTTGTAGGTAAACTGTCTTGTGTGCATTTAGCACCTAAAATGTTTATGTGTAAGAAACCACTGTGCTCAACTAGGAACTGAATAGGTATTGTTGGCTTTTCTGCAGAAGTCTTTCAAACATTTTTTTGCACCAGTTGTTTATAAGCATCATAAAAAAGAAAGTCCTTGATCAGAAGAAATTAACAATGCACATATTCATTTCAATTTAAATGCTTAACAGACTCCAAATACAGATTTTCAAATCAGTGAAAATTAATTTACTCAGATGTTCATACCGTGTTACCAGTACATCAGAATGCTCTGGGAAGTCAGTTGATAAAACAAATGTAGATATACATGCCAGACTGGTCAGCAACAGTGTGTTTTGCTTGTTAATCTTTTGAATTGTTGTATGAGGATAATATGTAGTAAGTTAGGGAACTCCAGTTTTGTGGAGATTGCTGCAAAGAAAGGTGTGGATTTTGGTAAAAAATCTTGTGTTAAAAAAAAAAAAGCATTGAGTTCTCAAATCTACAAAAAATTCGTTAGAAGCTGCTGATAATTAATCAAAATATATTGCTCATCATAGTAATTAAAAAAAGTTTTCTCCATTGTAGTTTAAGCCCAATGGCCACTAAGCACCATGCAGCTGCTCACTCAAACCCCCCCCCCGGTGGAATGGGGAGGAGAATCAAAAGTAAAACTTGTAGGTTGAGATAAGAACAGTTTAATAAGGGGAAACAAAGTAAAATATAATGATAGTAACCAATGATAATTATAATAAAAGGGAAAGGAAAGAAACAAATTATGCACAATATAATTGGTCACCATCCGTGGACAGATGCCAGACCCCGAACCCAGATCAACCCCCATTCTGGGTAACTCCCCCCAGTTTATATACTGAGCATGACGTTCTATGGTGTGGAATATCCTTTTGCCCATTTCAGGTCGCCTGTCCTGGCTATTCTCCTTCCCAGTTTTTCTTTTG